TCATGCTGTTTCACCTCCTTGTAGGAATATACTATATATATGGAGTCCTAATATTAGAGGTAGCATTCGATTTCAAAATCCATAAATATTTCAGAAATGTTCAAAAAACAAAGACTAAGGAGGAGAACAAATATTTTATAAAAACTCCTTTTTATCTTAATTCAAGTTTCATAGATATAAAGATATATATACACACGTAGAAGGGTTAACAAAATATCAACAAGATAAATGCTCTAAAATGGTTCTGTTTCTACATACGTCCCTCAATAGAGTGGCACAAGTTTTCTGGTCCCGCACCCCAGTGTTCAACGCCAGGCACGACTGGAATACAAACAAAAGGCGCGCGCTCAGTAAAATGTGAAAATACTGCCAAAGTATGCAAAGCTGAAGATGCTCGTGAAAACACTTAAGACTCATGCACGTACCATCAAGGAATGGAAAGGGGAGTGGTGAATGACTTGCCTCTGTCTGTCCATTCGAGTTTTGCAGAAAACTTGCAGTTGCACTTCCTGCCGCTTGACGCTTGCCACTTGCATGGTTTGCTTCCTTCCTGAAAATCCATCAGCGCTAATTTTGCATATTTCTCTATGCAGCTTTTGTTTTTGTCAGATCTTAGATCCTTTCATTTTTTCCTGCAGCTCTGACTTAGCGCTTTAGCGCACAGCTCACAAAATACATTGGTGAATGTTCAACGTTTGTTTTGGCACATTTGTGTGACTTTTGCTCTTTCGGGGCAAGCACACACAAACACACATTTCCGTGTACGAACTCGTAAAGCGGGGGCGCAACCTTGTGGCATATGATGATGAATTATGTGCGCCACGTACATTATTAATAATTCCTGTCAACAAAAATACAAATAACACTGCGCTACATTTGTGGTTTATATCTGGCTGGCCACATTGCGTATGCGTAATATGTTTATTTCCTACGCTGCGGCACCAAATTTATTAAGCAGCTGCTGCAAAAGCCAACACACAAAAGCACAACCAAAACAACAACAACAGCACCAAAGCCGCAAAGCTCTTAAAAACACAATAAAAAAGTAAATAAATAAAAACAGAAAAAAACACAATAGTCTCTCTGCACAAGGCCTCTTATTCTTATAGTTGTCTGTCTTTTTCAATGCAAAAAATAATATTTTATTTTAGTGTTATAAAATCTGAAAAATGTGTTTATAATTTTTTTGTGTCATTTATTTTTGTCGAATAAAATTTACATTTGTATCGACTTTTGCACGACGTTCAAATCTAAGAGCAATTGTCTTGGATATATCATTTAAATTAACATTAACTTCTTAAGTAACTATTCTATGTTACAATCTAGAAGTAATGCCAATACGAATTGAATCCTCATTGGACTAGAGGAGTATGATTTGTAGAAAAAGATGGGTTCCAAAAGGCTTTATTCACAAAGCCGGCAAGATTTATGTTTTCTATAAAAATCAACGTATATCTCAAAGCAAAATTCTGAACTATACTAATTGCTAACAGTACTTTTAATAGAACCTCTTCAATTTGTTATTGGATTTATAAAAGAGTTTCATTATCTTTGAAAAAAGAATCAGACGAAAAATTATAACAATTATATTATTATCGATTACTAGCGATATTTAATAAAAATTTCAATATTTTCATAAAATTATTCTGCTTTCTCTAGATATACTCGTATTTGTATCTACGTATCTGTTATTTTATCGTTTGTTTATGCTTAAGAAAATTTATATAGGACCGCTGGTGGTCATTGATAGGCAAACTTTAAGCTTGTCTGACTAAATACAGCTCGTTACACATCTTTGATGTTCCTTGTGGTGAAATGTATAAAAAACAAATGTGCGTTAGATTTTATCCCAATATGAAATTATTTATAATTCATTGTGACACACCTGCGAGCACTTATAAACAACACAATACCAAAAACTCTACAAAAAAAATGTTTTAACAGCATAAATCAATATTCAACACCGTTTTCCGGGAAATTATATGAATCTGTAGGGCAATTATGTTATGTTTGTGCTTGTGAAGATTAGCAAAGACCATTGAGGTCTCCATAGAGTATTGAAAAAATCGAGAGATAAGAAATAAATCAACAGCTTTATTTGCTTCATTAAAAAACTTTAATACGTCTTTGATATTTGCATTACAGACTGTCAAGAAAAGTTCCAATAGAGAATTGATATTAGTTCGCTAAGATTTTTAAAATCATATTTTAGTAGTATTATTTCGTTATTGTTTTGTAAAAGTGGTAGAAACTCATTATATTTTAGAATAGAAAGCTCTTTAGCAAATTTTATATATTCGAGATGTCTAAGGAATCAAAAGAAAACTGTATGTAATTATTTATTATTTTTTTAGTACTAGATAATTATTATTTTTTTAATTAGTCCAAAGACACTATAACTACATTAATTACATTTTCATCTCATAACGTATCCAACTTGTTGACTGAATTTTATTTGCCATGTGGCCAGCTAGGCCCCGATTTCCCTTTGTTCTCAACATATCTCAACATATCTCTTTAAGTTCCTGTACTCTTTAAAAAAAAAAGAAAAAGAAAATAAACAGAATCCCTGACCACTATGCGTTCTCCGATATTGCGTATACGCCCGTTGTTACATCACGTTCATGTACACGCAGGCAGGCAAACACACACACACACATACACAAACATACTCGTATTCGTACAAACAAACAGAGCTGCAGAGGAGGCGAATTGGCTTTTCGCTTTGGTTTTTGTTTGCACATTGTATTGTGTTTCGAGTTTCGAGTGTGCAAGTTAATTGCTTGAAAAATTGAACTCCATCAATTTGCTGGCACACTTACAAGGTACATGCATACAAGTATGTGTATTTTTATAAAGTATACATATGTACATATGTAGTATGTATAGAAGAGCAAATATTTATACATTGTTACAAGGCCGAGCAGCTGCCAAGGCGTTGGCTACTCTTTTATTTATTCAGTTTCTCGTATACTCGTACATACATACGCGTATATAGACACACTCACACCGACATACACTCACATATTCCAATCATCATCATGTGTGGCGTTAGTCGAGGGCGCGAACGTTAACAGGCCACTTAATTTTGGCAATTAAACTTATTGTTAAGTTCCGAAGTTTCGGGAGTCGTTGAGTTTTGCGGCGCGTGCCGAATATTCAATTTTCAAACCAACTAGCGAAGAACCAACCAGCGTGGAATGTGTATCTAAAAACGCATTTGCATATCTGTGTGCAAATGTTTGTATGTACGGCGGTGCCTGTTTGGCTTCTGACATATTGACACAAAATGCTTTCAATTTGTTTTGACGCTTTGTGGCTGACTGCAGTGAAAAATTAATTCACAACTATTTCAAATTTGATTACTATTTTCACATTAATATTCTGTAACTTTTGGCAATTACTAAAGCTTCACTTTGTATCATTAACAAAATAGTCTTTAAATGGTAATGCATCGCACATCATCTGACAAGTAGTCTTAAGACAACAATGCTTGAATTAGCTAATTACTTTCCATTTAAATGAATATTTTATGGCTTACATAAAATGCAGCATATCCCCCTGGTGTGCCATAAACGTGGATGTGACTGTGTATGTGTGTGTGTGCGCGCGTATTTTTGGACAACTTGAACTGCACATTAATTAAATATTTATGTGTGCGCAGAACGCAACAAACGACCCAGCTGACAAACATAAAAGCAGGCAATTGTGTGTACTTACTTAACTGCCAAAGTCAAACAGAGCGAGACATCTCAAGGTACACACAATAGAGACATGCAAGCTGTGAAACAAAGAAAACTTACTAGACACTTCTCCACCTAGAATGAGCTAGCTATAATGCGATTGGATGCTGCCCAATTTTGTTTATTTTAAGCTGAAATGCATAATTATTAATCTTGAATTTCATCATTGCCTCACATAATTAACCATCTTGTCTAATAACTTGAGGACTGATATTTATATCACATTCCTTCATAAATTAATTAAATTAATCATTATTTAAATTAATGATATGCATTAATTATTTTATTGATTCAAAATTAGGAGTCGGTTCGTAATTACTCATAAAATTATATATTTATTTATATTCAGTTAAGTTTATTTTAATGTATTTATCCATCCATTTACATTTATTTGTATATTGATTTATACCTATTTATATTTATATATGTAGGCTAATGTATGTTAAATTTAATTGTATCGCTCATACCAATAAGTAATTTTTTATCTTAATTCATATTTACTACCTTGATAAGGACGTTGTTTAAAATCCCTTCACATTTGTAGAATACTAAGTAGCACTTACCCTCTGAGCTGTGCGTACAAGCGTCGGAGAGCGTTTCTCCCCTTTGGAGATCGAGTTACCCAAAACTGTTCACTTACACGGTGAATGGATTTAGTTTCATTTTCAAATTTCGGGTTTGTTCAGGCTGTACGATGATTAGAGAGGTTCATAGATAGGCATACTTAATAGCCAAATGATTGCAAGTGATTCAGTCTTAATTACGTGGATTCATTCATTCACAATTCATTCAATTCATTAATTCATTCATTTACAATTATTTCATCTCTAATTTCGGAGAACTATCTTGGGAGCAAAGGTAATGGGAAATAACTATTTGCAATAGCATTCCGTCATATTCATTCCAAAGGATGGTAAAACAAATATGTTTGGTTTTCAGTCATGCAGTACTTTAATGTACAAGTATAATGCACCAGAAACAACAAACGCCGACAAAGGATTGTGCTGCTATGCGGCACTGGCTTCTTGAAGACAAACACAATGCCCGACATAAATACAAGAATACACATGCACATACATATTTACAAACAAACAAAATAAACTTTCACCTGCTTCGCACATTCATATACTTGTATATGTACTTACTATATAGTATATATACATACTTATTTACTGCTCATTGTTGAAATGTACAAATTTAACATCTAAGCACAAGACAATGCAATAAAGTTGAAATTAGTTCGGGCCATAATTTCAGGTGAACATCCGGAGGCAATGCAAACTGGCTCATCCGGTTGTCAGTACAATTGGCTGACAATTGTCATGCTCGTCGGTTTGGTTTTCTGCTATAGCCAACAACAACAGTGCGACATATTTGCAACCCAAACAGCCACAGCCACAGCAACAACAACGACAACAACGACAACAAATGCAAAAGCAACAGCGACAGCGACAGCCAGCACGTGTAGCAGCAGGGGCGCCACAACAACAACAACAACGATAACAGAATGTGTCGCCCAAATCCACGCCTCTGACGTCACAGTGTCAAGTGTGGTTAACAGCTGTCGCCGTTACCAAAATGTGGCAGCCAACAACAAGAACACGAAGCGCCGCTGTCTCAGATGATCAGCGACAGTCGTGGGCGACATTGGAGGGAAGGTCAGCAAAGATGGCCATTAACTAGCGTAAATTACAGAGGCACATGAAATGTGTGTAGGTATGTATGTGAGATAGTGAGTGTATGTGTGAGTGTATGCGTGAGTGTATGGTGTGCATTCGAAGTCGTTAATAATTAATAATTGTAATCGAATACGGCAAGTTTTAAACTAGCATTTTGTTGTAAGTGATACTGAAAGTCTCAGCTCGCTTCCAATTAGGCCTGCCGTTCCAAATACGTACATACATTAATGTTAATCAACTACATTAATGATAATCAACTAAGCATTAACGATATAAATACATATGCAGTGAAATCTAGTTAGGGGACAAGCCTGGACCATAATGAATTGGGGACCCTAACCGATTGAGAAAGTATTACATTTCCCTTCATTTGATTAACTCTCAAAGTCGTATACCATTTTCTATTAAATTTCAGATACGAAATAGTGCACTATTAAATAATACATATACTGAAATGTCTATATATGATAGGAATGGTGACACAAATCGCGTTATTCAATTTATTTTCCATTTTTACGGCCTAATCTTTCACTAAAACAGAGGAATGGAATACCTTTTTTTGTGTAGTTATGTAAATATTTTAGGGCTTGCAAATAACTGTTGACTGTTTATCAACGTTACAAAATAGCTGTTACTTAATATATACATGCAACATAATTTAAAAGAAGGAGGTGAAGAGCAAATCCGCAGTTGCAGTTTGGAGGCGTAAATTTATTTCGCTAAACTCCTGTTTCAGGTGCGTCGGTTTTGGATAAAATCTATAACAGATAAATATGCATTGCATATGAAAAGTTCAGTTTACGCATCTTTGGAACTGAGAACTAAGATAATAAAATTTTGTAGCCTAGAAAGCGGGAAACATGAAACAAATTCGAGTTTCTTAGGAAGAAGAGGCTACATACCGTTGTGGGTCAGCCGTTTCCCTAATCCAGGCGTAATTTTTTGCCAAGCTCTACCTCTGTTCAAAGTGTCATCGAAAACCATCGGCAGCAGCGGTTTTACTCGACTTATTCCTGCTTTTAGCTATTAGCACATAGGTATGTATAACAACGAATGGAACAACGCATTCGATACAGTTCGGTTTTTGCTAGAGGGCTTTTCACTGTCGGGCTTGCTTGACTATAACGTTCTCTAATTAAACTCTCTACATGAAATGAACACCGGTATATTGGGTTTGCGGGAGGTGGAAAATGAAACAGACAGAAGGAGGCTTTGCAGACCCCACAAAGTATATACATATACATAAATTCTTGTTCATGCCCTATGTGTGTACGCAGTACGAGTTTGATTTATTTTTTTGATACACTCCGCCACTCCCCCCTACAGGAGGTTTTCACAAACGCCGTTGGTATAATCATCTATATCTTGGAGACTATAAGAAAGAGAGATACCAAATGTTAGTCCAAAATGCCTTGTTGAAGGAAAATCCATCCCCCTCCCACACAATGAGTGATTTTCCATAAATTCTAAGAATTAATCTTGTAATTTTATATTATTTTTTTAATGTTTACATTTTTTTTTAATTTCTATAATTATTCTACACATATTCTAGAGTATTTCAATGTCAGGACATCCGATTTTAGCTTCTCTCCGTGCTTATAAAAATTAATGTTATTACTGATGCCAGCCTTGTGATATGTTGTTTCCGAATTCGATTAAATTGGACGTAAAGTGTTCTCTGTGAAGGTAAATTTTTTTGTTATAGGTTACAATAAACTATGATTTAGACAAGTTTACGTACCGAGTCTGTTGTTTCTAATTGCACGAAGTTCTGGTTGTTCCTATATAGGAATGGAGTTGGGCTTCATTTTGTTCTTGGATTAATTGTGTCATTTTCATAGGCTTGGGAAGGGAACTTAGCCAGCTAGGCAGATTTCACTGCACATGTGTGAATAGCCCCACAACTAAACATAAAATGTAATGAGATTTACGGTTTAATATGTATTTTAAATAGATTTCATTTAAGTAATATGTGTACATAATAAGCGTAATTACGTATTGGCAAAAATGTTGATCACATTACATTCCGCATACCTAAGTATATATACATATATTAACAATAAAAAAATATTCGAAAAATAAATAAAAATCACATGCGATTAAAATTGAATGCCCCAAAGGCAGTGACACGTTTAAATAAATTTATAAATAATCAAATAATAATGTACAGTGTGTGTATGTATAATAATTAGATTAAATGCCACCTCTTTCAGTATCATCATCAGCATGTGTGTGTCTGTGTGTTAGCATAACAACAAGAAAGTATTTAAATTAATTGCCATATCATGCAAATATTTGCGATACGCATTTTCCACACCAAATGCAGCAGCGGAAAATTTTCTTTCGTTTTACTTTGCTCGCTATTATCATTAAAACGGCAATTATATTTCAGTTTGCGCGCAAATGTTTGTGATGCAAACAAATTATGCAACAATACGTATTATTTAAATAAAAAATAAACTTAAATTCAATTTTGACAAACATTTTTATGTGTGTACATATAGTATGTTTGACTAACTAAAGGCAGGCTGTGTGTGCGCGTTTATGTATCTGTAAGAACTATAATTAGCTAAATATTTCAAAGAAGTCTCTTAATACATATTTCATTTGCCACTGAAAGGAGTTGATTGAAGTTGCATATCCTTGCATAGTACAAGTAGATGAATGATGACGCGAATTTCACAATTATTTCCTTATCATTTGGTCGACTAATTTTATTTCTCATTAAAAGGTTGTATTTTCTTTTATCCTACCATTTTTTCAAATGAAAAATAGCTTAGCAGTTCAAAGTCAATATTGTAATTAATAATTAATGTATCTGCAAAACTATCGTCATACGCGTATGTGTAATATGTACATGAACTGGTTTCATGTCAAGTACTTCACTTCATAATGCATTTATGTTCAAGATTGAAACTCTGAATATGCAAAACCATTGGCCACTGGCTAAATTAAATCCACGCGGAACATAAATACTGAAAATGTATAATAATAACCATACATATTTATTTGTGTTTCATAATTGCTATAATTAAAAAAACAAAAAACATTTGCCGCACCATAACATTTTAATAATTTCGCGAACATTTGTCGAACACGGCCGAAAAAAGAAAGCCACAAAACTAAATCGAATAATTGCCTAAAATCACTTTCATTTTACGCGCCGCATAAAATGTGCTTTAAATCGCTTTTTGGTTATGCGAAAAATGTAATTAAATTTATAGTAGATTGGACAACATTTAATAATGAGACTTTATCTAATCTGGCATTATACATATTTTTTTATTTTGTTGCATTCTATTTTTTAATGATAAAGTAGCTGCAATGCAAACAATTTATTGCCAGTGCGTTAATGAATCAAGCTGTAAAAATTGTAATAATTATCAAATACAATATAAAGCTTTCAGCATTGTGTAAAAAGATGACTCATTAACAAATTGATGGGTGTTAGACATAGGCAGAATATAATTATTACCTCGGCCTAGTCGAAGCTGCATGAACTACACAAAGAGAGCTAAGATTCAAAAATTTCAGAGCTATATTTACAAAACACATCATCGTTCATCGTTTCTTAAAAAAAGAATTCTCTTAATTCTAAATGAAGTTGATTTGATTTATTTATTTGGTGACTAAGTCGTTGGATAAATGTTCGTAAGGAAAACTATATAAGAACCGATTGTTAGCTCATTAGCAATACATCAAGCCAACACCATAGCTTTATAGACGATATGAGTTAAAGGAAAAACTGTACACAAATTTTAAGGCAAACAAATTTTGGAAATAATCAATCGATTAAGCTATGAAGATTCGGATTAACACTAGTTGAATTCATAAAGTCCATAGTCCCATTCTTCTATGGGGAGAATATCTAAGCAATACCATCGAGAAAGTACACCTGATAATTTTTTTTTTTTAATTCGCGAATATCAGTTGTTAAATCTGACCTAAGTAGAAAACTATTTTCATTTTACTGACGAATATCAAAAGTAAGAGCAATGCGTATCGGAGATATTTAATTTACTCAACGTGGCAAGCTTGAACCACCTATAAAGAGAGGCTTAACTTTAAATAAAGACTATCAAGGGTTCAAATTAATACTATCCGAATACAAGTATATCCCTCTATTTTTCGTTCCGATTACTTGAGCCTACTCTTTGTTACATCAAATAACATCGTTGAATAATTATCAGCTACGCTTTGAAGCTCACTTATAAGCTTTGTGAAGGACATGCAGACATAAACGTTGAAATACGATTGAATATTGATAAAGCTAACCAATCAAAATAAAATAGATAAATTTTTAAAGGCATATATACTTAGTATGTGTATTTATTAAACCCAACTGTAAACACAACACATGTACTATATATGTCAGACGATTTGTGAACACACACACACAACACAGAACAAGGATATGTATTTACAAAAGTTTAATATATTATACAAATATTATAGAGACATATGTAAGTCATAGGTAAGCTAATAACTCGTGTATTATAAAGTTAATTACTGAACGAACGGGTGGGTGCGTTTCTGATTTAGAATGAATGCGTCGAATTATACGAAATAGTCTGTAAGCAACATGCATACATATACATATTGAATAGTTATTAGTTGAAATAAAGCAATTGAATTGTAAAGAAGGAAGGAAGGAAAAAAAACCGAATCGACATAAACCTTCAACTCTAAACTCATTACTTTTAATTGTTAAATAAACATAAACAACATGCTACTCAAATACACATGCGATTGTCTGACAAAGGAAGTCAACAACAATAGCAATATGAATAAAAACAATACGGAAAAAATAGCATTACATATAACCAAAGCAACAATAAACAACATATGCAAATGTCGCCAGCAAATTTGAGAGTGTGAATATAAATATGAAAATAAAATAAAATAAATTGAAATAACAGCAAAATTGCCGTTTTTATTTGCATACAAAAAGGCGCGACATTTGCTTTGACAAACAACACAAAAAGCAAAATAAGTACGATTGTCTGCATAAAATACGAAATGAAAAACGAATAAATTTTTTATTTACAAATTATGCATTTTGACGTGTTTTAATTGAGGACTCTGCTCTGACATTATAGACTTCTATAAAAAAAACTTTACATCTGTCGCAAGCAACCAAACAACAAATGTGCGAGCACACATGAATGAACCTGAATGAACATGCACGCCTACTATGGAGGGTGGTGCGTGGGGTGTGGGGTGTGGAGGCGTTATTTATGCAAATAGCATACACATATACACACACACCCACCCACCCACACACTTGCACATCGCCGATTGCAGTCCGCTCAGCAAATGCGTAACGACAGGCTAGAGTCGAAGAAATGAAAAATAATCTGCAACGTATGCGTGTGTCACATGTAATCGTTGGATTATAGACAGGCCGCTGAAAACTGGGTCACCAAATAAATCGAATGGGGCTTTAAATTTAAAACATAAGCGCCAGCTGAGTGTATAAGCAAGGCATCCTCGCACAGTGCATCAAATCAGGAAAGGTAAGATTGCTCAGAT